AACTACATTTTATCTGGCAACACTGCTCCTAACCTCAACTCAAAACAAAACACCTCCAGGCCCAGATTTCATTGATAAATTTGACCAAATACAAACATTTAAACCAAAACTAATAAAAATTTTATACACACTCTTTCACAAAATAGAAGAGAGAAGTACTTCTCAACTCATTTTTTTGAGGCCAAGTTAATGCTCATACATTTGAAAAAGACATTACAGGAAAAACAAATTACAAATCAATACTCTCATAAATACTAATGTAAAAATCCTTAACAAAATACCTACACTAGCAAATCGAATCCAGCAATATATTAAAAGCACAGTAGGCCCTCCATATCCATGAGTTCCACATCTATGGATTCAACCAACTGTACTAAAATAATAAAGGGAATAAAAAGGATGGGTGCACCTGTACTGTACATGTACAGATGTTTTTATTTTTTCATTATTCCCTAAACAATAAGTATAACAACTATTACATAGCATTTATACTGTATTAGGTATTACAAGTAACATACAAACAATTTAAAGTATTATGTAAGAGACACACATTCATGGATTTTGGTATCCATGTAGGTCCTGGAACCAATAACTCATGCACCAAGGGACAGGATGACTGTAATTACAACATTACTTATTATAATTAAAATATCATGACCAAGAAGAATTTAGCCCAGGAATGCAAGGTTGGTCTAATATCAGAAAAATCAATCATTGTAAATTGCCCCATTAACAGGTTAAAGGGGATAATCTATATGATCATTTCAATAAATAGAGGGAGAAGCATCTGACAAAATTCAACACATATTAACAATAAAACCTCTCAGCAAACAAGGAAACAGGAAAGACCTTCCTCAACCTGACAGAAGGCATCAGTGATCTTAATAATAAAATACTTAGTATTCCCCTCAACCAACAGCAGGATGAAGGTAAGGATGTCTACTCTCAACTTTTCTGTTCAATATTACACTGGCAGTATTAGCCAGAGCAATAAAATAACCAGAAAATGAAGTGAAAGGAATATATTGGAAAGGAAGCATAAAGCTGTTCTACTTGCATGCAACATCAACTTGTATGCATTCAAGCCACTAAGAAAGCTACTAAACAACTATTAAAACATAGAAATTTAGTAAAGTCAGAGAATTCAAGGTTAACATATAAAAATAAATAGTAGCTCACGCCTGTAATCTTAACACTCTGGGAAGCCAAGACAGGAACACTGCTTGAGCTCAGGAGTTGGAAACCGGCATGAGCAAGAGTGAGACCCAATCTCTACTAAAAATAGAAAAAGTAGCCAGGCATTGTGGCACATGTCTGTAGTGCCAGCTACTTGGGGAACTGAGGCAGGAGGTTCATTTGAGCCCAGGAGTTTGAGGTTGTAATGAGCTACGATGACACCACTGTACTCTACCCAGAGCAACAGAGACTCTGTCTCAAAATAATAATAATTAAAAAAGTATATATTTCTGCACACTAGCAGCAACAATTTGAAATTAAATACAAAAAACAATTTCATTTACAAGACTATCAAAGAACATAAAATATTAACACATATAGGATAACTCTAACGAAAAAAGTATAAGACTTATACACTGAAAACTATAAAACATTACTCTAAAGCATTAAAGTAAATCTAAATAAATATAGAAATATACCAAGGTCATAGACAGAAGATTCAACATTATCAGGATCCCAGTTCACCCAAAATTGTTCTATACATTGAACACCATCCTAACAAAAACATCAACATGCTTTTCTGAACAAATTGACAAGATGAATCTAAAATTTATATACAAAATTTATATACAGAGTAGCCAAAATAATCTTGAGAAAGAACAAAATTGGAAGACTCACATTTCCTGATTAGAATAATCAAGACAGTATGGTTTAACTGTAAGGATTAAACAAACAGATCAAAGGAACACAATTGAGTATCCAGAGATAGACCACATAAGTACAGTTAAAATTCATCTAATTTATCAAATTAATTCAATGAGGAAAGGGAAGTCTTTCAAATAAATGGTGCTAAACAACAGATAAACAATGAAAAATTATCAACTCTGACCTTTACCTCACTACATTCATAAAAATTAATTCAAGATGTACAAACCAGAATTATAAAGCTTCATGATAAAAATATATGAGAATATCATTACAAACTTAGGGTAGGCAGGCAAATTATTTCTTAGAAGAATAGAAAAAACATTAAGTTTTAAAAAAATTAATAAACTCAAATTCATTAAAATTTAAAACTCAAGCCCAAAAAGGCAGGCCACAGACTGGGATGAATATTCCCAATACACATATCTGACAATGGACTCATATGCAGAATACATAAAAACTCATGCAACTCAATTACAAAAAGAAAAATGAGCCAATTTTAAACACAAGTAGAAGACTTGAACAGACACTTCACAAAAGAAAATACAGCAATATCTAATATACACATAAAAAGGGGCTCAACATCATCGATTATCAGAGAAATGCAAATTACTATGCATTACTATGGGAAGACATCATTTTATATCTGCTAGAATGGTTAAAATTACACAAGAAATATTGACAAAGAACTGAACTAACTGGAGCTCTTGAGAACACTTGTGAAAGTATTCATGGCAGTATTATTCACCACAACAAAAAGCTGGTGACAACCCAAATGTCTACCAACAGAAGAAAAAATAAATATTTTGTTATATTCTTACAGTAGTGGAATACTACTTAGCAAAAAAGAGAACTCCAGTACTGATATATGCAACAACAAAGATGAATTTCAAAAGCCCTGGACTAAGTGAAAGAAACCAGATACAAAAGGCTACATTTTGTATGATTCTATTTATTGGAAATTTAAGAACATGTAAAACTCATGTATGATGATAGAAATCACAACAATAATTGCCTGTGGGTGTGGGGTTGAATACAAGGGGGCCCAAGGAGACCCTCTAGGAAGACAGAAATATTCTCTATCTTGATTGGGGTATGTTTATTTAGGCATATATATTTGCCAAAAATCATTGAACTATATGTACTTAAAATCTATGCATCACATTGTATGCATTATGCTCAATACAATATTATTGGGGAGAGAAAAAAAAAAAGCAAAGCAATTTAAAATCAGACTTATAGTTCAAGATGGCAGATTGATCACAGCATTTACCTTCTCCCTAAAAATAGTCACTAAGAGGAAACATGAGAAGAGGTTCTGGAACACTGGTATTGTTCTATTAATATATATCTTGTGCTGAATGATGATTATATAGGTGTTTTCACTTTGGGATAATTTATCTATTTATATACTTAGGATTGTACATACTTCTGTAAATATGTTATATTAGACTTTTTTAAAAATCAGCCAGTGAATCAGGTACCCTCTTCAATCCACTGCTATACAGAACTTCTATCCAGCTAATAAATTTTCACAAAAGATGTTAAACTTATCAAATGCTGGTCTGGTTTCTAAAGCAAAACAAAAAACAAAAGCAGAAAACACTCTTTACTACCTCAGATGATCGGCACTGCCTTAGTGACTACAAAAGACTGTAAGGTAGATATGCAGTCCATTCACTACTCTAGGTAACCTCTAAACATACCAATAAAATAAGATACAGATCAATTTTCTTACTGTATCTTTCATTTACCCTGATATTTTGTAGTATGTTTGCTGAAAATGTATCTTCAGTGCTTATCAGAACAAACTGTGACTTTTATACAATCTATGTGTCAGCTCATTTTCACCAAAACTCCACTTGGTCTTCTGTTAGACTATCAAATTCCCTAAATATTTTTCAAACTGAGCTTTTGAGAAATGTTGAGAATAATAATAAATAAAATCAGATGACTGAAGTATTAAGAGGATAGCTAAATTCAGGTATCAAAAATATATAACGTAGGCAATTAACCAATTACTCTATGTTTTCCAACAGTATCCAGCAGTAGAGAAAAGAGAGGCTAGATTAATCCAGACAAATAAAGGTCACAGTCACAAAAGAAATGGTGAGGAAGGGGTGTTTTGGGGAGTATAACTGAATAACCCACTATAGGACCAGAGTATAAAAGAAAAGACAATGAAGCCAAAAACAGAGAATAAAAGGAGTCTGGGACCAAAAATCAAAGAGCAAATTTATCGTAACTCAAGCAGTATAAGTGGTAGAAAGACAAGAAGCTATGGTGAAAAAAGAAGAGTTTCAGAGTTCAGATATATTTCATCTAATCACTTGTGCTTCTTAAAATGGATACAGGAATATCTGCCATTAGAACTATCAACCTATAGCTTAGTACCTGATCCAAAGTAGAATCTGAATAATAAGGAGTAACTGTTGTAAATTGATAAAGTAAATGCAAATTACTTTTAATATTTACCAAGACCACAATCATAAACATCTACTAAGAAAAAAATAAGATTTAGTTTAAGCAAACTATAAGTAAAATATAGCCCACCTGATATTTTTAGTTTATCCAATCAAGTGTTCTCTGACTTTCTTAAAAATAAGTTAAAGTTGATTGGACAAATGTTACATATGCAAATATATAACCACATATACTCAAAGTAAACCAAAATTTCACTTTTTTCTGAATTAATTTTAAACCACAAGTACCATGACTTATATAATTTCTTCCTATATCAGAAAAATTTCTACTCTACCCCTGTAATTCAATATTCGTCACAATGAGATTAACCATAAAATCTAAAGAAGGCAAATTACTTATAAAATGATTTTCTTTTCTCACAGCAGACACAACAAGGCAACAAAACAATATTAAATAAGACATTAGGATTTTTAGTACTCATAAGCAATGGGAAAGATTAAATCATATAACAGTGAAATTTGGTCTTGGAGCCACATAACTCATTAGACGACACATTATTCATATGCATTCATCCCATCAACTGATTCCCTTGTAAAACAACTCAAATCTGACTGCAAATTTTAACAATTCTCCAATCAGCAAATGCATGCTCAGCTTTGCCAATGATAAAACGATATTTAATGCAATCATCTTACCTGCCTCAGTAGTTTCTCAATGGCTGACATGACCATAAGGCCTCTCCAAACAACTGGTGCAGTCTCTTCAATCAGGAAGCCCATAGACATACTGCAACAGTAATCCAAAATACAACTAAGTTGTATAAATTAATCAATATTATTCTTAAAAGTAGCATAAAGTAAAAATGTATGCTCACCAAGCAATACCATAATTCAAAAGAGGCCTCATTAGGTTGCCTGAAATAAGAAACAAAAATCTCTTTTAGAAGTGTAAATCATTATACAGAAACAGACTGACTTCTTTTGCCTTTTAAAAAGTATTTATTACTATTTTTTAACTGACAAAAATTGTATATATTGCAATGTGAGGTTATGATACATATATACAATGTAGAATGATTAGATAAGGCTAACTAACATATCTATGACCTCACCTACTTATCCCATCTTTGCAGTAAGAATATTTAAAATCTACTGTTTTAGTAATGTTGAAATATACTTGTAGTACTTGATTATTAGCAATAGTCAACATGCTGTGAAATAAATCACTAGAAGCTATTCCTCCTGCCTAACCAAAAGTTTGCATCCTTTGACCAACATCTATCTCCCTTTTCCCCATCCATCCCTCCAGCCTTTTATCAAAGAATGTTAGAAATACAAATGGGCTTCTCATTACTGCTACAATGTAACTTCCAACTAATTCACTTCAATCGGCAACAGTTTAAACATTACACCAAGCATACTGCTAATACTCCCAATAGATAAGACATCTAAAAATAGTTCAGATATCATTTTATTAAGAAATAATTCATCTAAAATTTTAAGATATGTTTCTTTAAAAAACACCTTAATAATTTATCCATTAATTTTACTTATATACGTAGACATATAAATATATAAATTGCATATAACTGCATATATATGCTTATCTAGTATGTATATACATGTATGTGTATATTTGTATGCATAACAATTGCATCGTATTAGTTCTTCCTACACTGAAGTGTTACTTTTTTTTCCTTAAATAGTTTGAAAATTATGAAAATCTAAAAAAGCAGAAAAATTCTATCTTGAAATCTGAGACAAGAAGAAATTGGATTTATCATCCCCTCTCATCCCCTCTCCACAAAAAATAAACATTAACAAAAGTGAAATTGCATTAATCTCAAGAGAAAAGCAATATACTGCTTATAGTCAAGCACTATATATACATATACTTTACATAATAAAAAAATGGTGAAATAGGATTAAGATGGATGACTAGACACAAATAGTATAGTATATGCCTCCTCCACAGAGAGGAACCAGATTAGTAAGCAGATTCTCACATTTTGAACAGACCATCTAGGAAAGAATATTAGGATTTACCAGGGAAGTGACAGGAAGCACCAAAAGTGGGTAAGGAGAGGGTTCAGGGCAACTTGTGCAGCTAGGGTCTGGCTAATAACTGGGAGACGCTCCCAGATGTGGTGAAATAATTTGAGAGAAGCCCCCAAGGCTCCACTCTCTGAGACAAGCTTTTACAATCTTGGCTACAAGAGAGAAAAGCCCCCAAACCATGCAAATCTCCAGCCTAACATAGGGAGCTGCTTGGAGATTACAGAGAGATATTGTTGCACAAAGAGAACTAACACAGATTCCCACAGGCATCTGAGCCAGCCTGACCCAGGCACCATTCTGAAAGCCTAGATGCTAGGGAACCACAGGTGAGCCTGCGGCCACTGCGAGAAACAGAGGAGCCCAGGTGCTCCCATGCATCCCTGGGAAGGTCTCCACTGCCCTGCGGTGGGCTGCAGATGAGACTGAGACATGAGCAGACAGCATTTTCCAAAGTTTCACACTCATGCCGCAATCCTGGGTGGGGCCCCAGCCTTTCTGGTCACAGGTCCAAGACAAGAGAAATAAACAAAATCTCCAAGAAATGTGAGATTATATAAAACTCTGAAAAATAAGAATGATAGGCATCCCTGAGGGAAAAGAAGAAAAAGGAAGAAGCATGGAAAATCTATTTGAGGGAATAATGGAGGAAAACTTCCCTAGTCTTGCTAAAGATTTAGACATCTAGATACAAGAAGGTAAATGAACTTTGGAAGATTCATTCCAAATTGGACATCATCAAGGCACACAGTAATCAGTCTGGCCAAAGCCAAAGCAAAGGAGAAAGTCCTATAAGCTGCAAGACAAAAAGCATGAAGTAACTTACTAAGGAAAATCCACTACCAGCAGACTTCTCAATGGAAACCTTACAAGCTAGAAGGGATTGAAGTCACATCTTTAGTTTTCTTAAACAGAATGAATAACTGTCAGTCAAGAATTTTGTATCCTTGCTTGAAGCTCTTACTTGAGGGGGGGGTGCCTGGGCAATATAAGTAACCTTAACACTTGTACCCCCATAATACGCTAAAATAAAATTAAAATTAAAATTAAAAAAAAAAAGAATTTTGTATCCTGCAAAACTAAGTTTCATAACTGAGGAGAAATAAAACCTTTCCCAGACAAGCAAACACTAAGGGCTAGACCAGCCCTATAGGAAAGGCTAAAAAGTGCTCTAAATACCAGAAAGAATAGTTGATAGTCATCACTGTAACAACACTCAAAAAAGTAAAAACTGACAGCTCTTACAAAACAATAACATAAGGGAGAATACAAAGCAACTGGGTAACAGTCAACATTATACATGGAACAATATCTCACTTATCAAAATTAACATTAAATGTAAATGGTCTATATGTCTCACTTAAATGGATCGATAGAATGGATTAAAAAACACAACTCAAATATCTGCCATCTCCAGGTAACCCATTTAACTCATAAAGAGTCAAAAGATTCAAGGTAAAGGGGAGGAAAAATATTCCATACAAATGGAAACCAAAAGTGGGCAGGAGTAGCTGTTCTTATATCAAATACAACAGACTTTAAATCAACAGTTAAAAAGAAAAACAACGATGGTTATTTCATAATGATAAAGGGAGTAATTGAATAAGAATATGTAACGATCCTAAACATATATGTATCTAACACCAGAGTTCCCATATTCATAAAACAAATACTACTGGACCTAAGAAATGAAATAAAGAGCAACATAATAATAGTGGGGGATTTTAACACTCTACTCACAGAACTAGACAGATAATCAAGGCAGAAAATCAACAAAGAAACACTGGGCTCAAACAGGACTCTAGAACAAATAGGCCTAACACACATTTATAGATTGCAAAAGCAAATACAACAAAAACATAAATAAATAAATGAGTCTTAAACTAAAAAGTTTCTGCACAGCAGAAGATATAATCAACAGAGTAAATAGACAAGCTGTGGAATAGGAGAAAAAATTCAGAAGCTATACATCTGACAAAGGCCTAGTATCCAGAGCCTATAATGAACACAAACAAATCAGCAAGGAAAAACAAATAACCCCATGAAAAAGTGAGCAAAAGGAATAAACAGACATTTTTCAAAAGAAGAGAAACAAACAGCCAAACACAAACATATGAAATATATGAAAAATACTCAACATCACTAATCATCACTAGGGAAAATGCAAATTAAAACCACAATTAGATACCACCTTACCCCTGTCAGAATGGCCATTATTAAAATGTCAAAAAAACAACAGATGTTGGCGGGGATGCAACAAAAAGGGAACACCCATATACTGTTGGTGGGAATGTAAATTAGTACAACCTTTATGGAAAAACAGCATGGAGATTACTCAAAAAACTAAAAGTAGATCTACCATTTGATCCAGCAATCCCAATACTAGGGATCTATCCAAAGGAAAAGAAGTCTTTTTGTAAAAAAGACATCTGCACCCATATGTTCATCACAGCACAATTCACAATTACAAAGGTATGGAACCAACGTAAGTGCCCATCAATGGATGAGTAGATAAAGAAAATGTGATGAAAATGTGATACACATGCACATACACATACACACACACAAGAATAATATTCAGCCATCAAAGAGAATGAAATATCATTTATAGCAACTAGGATGAACTGGAGGCCTTTATTCTAAGTAACCCAGGAACAGAATACCACATGTTCTCACTTATAAGCGGGAGCTAAGCAATGGGTATGCATGGTCATACAGAGTGACTTAATGGACATTAGATGTCAGAAGGGAGAGGAAGGTGTGGGATGAAAAATTACCTATGAGGTACATTGTGCACTATTCAGGTGATAGGTATATTAAAATCCCAGACTTCTCCACTATGCAATTCAGCCATGTAACAAAGAACAACCTGTACCCTCTATATTCAAATAGAAAGGTTACTATAAAACATAGTTTCTTTTATCTATGCAACCATATCCCCATTTATTCTTGATTCCATATCCTACTTCACCACCATAACAAACTATAGTAGAAACTCTCTAATGCAATTTGGATAAGTACTAAGCCTAAAGTTTAGGGAAAAAACATAAAAACCTAGCAGTATCATATATTCAGATTTCACCGCATGTTCTTTGGGTTCTTTTTCTTCTACAAAGAGATTGAAACTGAAAACTCTCAACAAAGCATATAGGCATGGCTTACAAAAATAAATCCACTGCTGAACTTCATTCACTGAATCCCTACTGAAAGAAAAGGTCATGGTCCTTCATAAAAAGATTAGTAAATGAGTGTGCTTTTCTGGTTTCCTTCTGAATAAACTAATTAGCTCCATGTTTCCATACCTAATTTTGAAAGCAGTATTTTTCTTCCATGTAATTTTGTCAATTCTTCCCAAAGCATCCAACTTAAATTTTCAGAGTAATAACTTTTCTTCATCATGGTCTGTACTATTTTTTACTTTCTATTTTCTTCAGTTACAAATGCATACAGATTAAAGAATTGGAATTATCATATGCTTTTCCACTTGTGATCTGCTAAAATGGTAAGTTACATCAACAGATTTTTTCTTAATGTTGAACCAAACTTGCTTCCCTTGTTTAAAGTCAATTTAATCATAATACAGTTGTTTTATACAATGCTGAAATTGGTTTGCTAATATTTACATAGGTTTTTTTTTTACATAGTTAATTAGGGAGACTGGTCTATGATGTTCCCATTTCATTCTACCCTTCTAAGGTTTTACTAGCTTCATAAACTTAGTTGGAAAATATTATATATTTTGTAAGATTGGAATTCTTAGATCCTTGGCTTGCTACTTTTGTGATAGGAAGATCTTGACTACTATTCCAGTTCTGTAAAATGTATGGCATAATCTGAATTTTCTATTTCATCCTAAGTCT